CCTTTTCCTTCCTCTCCACTTCTGCCCCACCGCCTCCATTCCCTTCTGTAGTCCCTTCCCCAATTACTTGGTTCTCAGCGCACACCCAGACTCTTACCTTCAGCTGCTACAGAAGTTGAAAGTCTCTTGAGTTTAAAAAGCCCAAGAGCTTGGAGGTTTGCACATACTGGGATTACACTTGACGCAGCAGATGACCCGCAGCTGCCTCTGTTACAGAAAGCCCGCCGGCTGACAGCGCTCCTGGTGACAGAAGTGCCACTGGCTCACTACGCGGAGGAAGGACCCCGTGCTGTAAAAAATGAATTATGGTTGCGTAATGAATGGTGAGAGAAGACAGATCAGCCCTCTTCGCGTGGAATTTTACCCCGGTGGTTATAAAGTTCACGATATAAAGGCTCCCAGGGTAGCGTGCTGCGCCCCTGTTTACTCTTTGCCAGTGTGCTGGCAGTGCTGCTTCGCACCCTGCCTGACGCGGCCTTCCCTCAGCCGAGTAGCTCAGCGGCCTCTTGTTGCTCTGGCTTCCCAGCTGCCTCATATCCACTGCCCTGTCAAACTGGGTAAGATCCTGGGCTCGCCTGACCGTGACTGCCAGCGCTTTCGCCCTTCCCAGCACCTGCCTGGGAGAAGCCCCTAATGTGAGGAACAAAAGAGCCTGGGGAGCCCCAGGGAAAAGTGCCCAGACTCTAGGTGGATGCAGCCCTGTGGGCCCTGAGGGGACACCCCTGGGATGCTCAGTGCCACTTGCAGACACGTGTCGTGCTGTGAGGGAGGCCACTGTATTTGCCTCCTCTGCTGGATGAAGAGAGGCGTTTTCCAGGCGGGTAGAGCCAGGGCTGAGGACACCAGCTTATAAAGAGGTGACAGGACCTGTCTGCAGGAGTAAGGCAGCCCTCAGAGAGGTTGGGATGGAGCTGGGACAGCGGGGGACGCTGCCTGCCTCCCAGCCCTGGTCACACCAACGGGGAGCTGGGCATCCTGCCCAGGGGAAACCCTTGCGCAGGGGCAGCTGGGCTCTACACGTGAAACACAGCAGCTTCTGGCTCACTCCAGCACGTGCTGCAGGAGCCACTAACACAAACCCAGGGCTGCCCGTCGGGACACTGGGCGACTTGGTACCATCCTAGGAGGCAGAGGCCTCTTGGGAATTTTTACTGTCTAAAGCAAGAGCCGATTGCTTGCTCTTTACCGTGTGCAGCCACGGCGTAACAAGATCCTTTCTTAGCGTTGCTCTTCCAGTGCTGCTGCTAGAGCCAGGGCTGGTTCCTCTCCGTGTCGCTGCAGAGGGGCTTGTTTCTCACGGGAAAAGGACAGCCGTTGCTGCAGCCGTGGATGGTTTTGGTAGCCAGGGCACTGTGTGTGTTCAATAACGTGCCAGTGATGGGCTCAGCAATCTGCAATCTTATGGCTTATCCTAAGCCGGTGCAGGAAACAAGACGGCGAATGCCACCTCTGAACTGATGCCACGCTGTTTCAAAAGTGGTGTTCACCTGGCAAAGAGCAGGCGATCGCTGGCTTGGAGATGGGTCAGGTTGGGGTGGGAGGAGTGCGTTCTGCACGGGACCAGCCGCGTTAACGCTCAGCGCTGGCAGGGTGACCAGGGGAACGCACCCATGGCAGCAGTGTTAGAAAAGGGCCCCTGGGGACACCCCTCCTCATGGCAGCAAGCACTGGTTCAGAGGGGGTTAGACTCCACCCTGGCCCCACAGGACCTTCGTCATCTTCTGCGCTGTCACTTTTTGGTTTGGTCCTCAATCCGTCATAGACCCAGCGAGGCCCCACGTAGACCCAGCCAGGCCCCTGGTTACATCAGCAGGGAGCAGCAGCACGGTACCCCCAGACCCGTGCCCAGTCCAACCACGTCTTGCCCACGGCGCAGGGCAGGATTGCTGCCCATCGCAGCACTGCCCGTCTCCCCAGCCCCCCTGCCCTGCAGCCGCCAGTGCTGAAAGCCGTGGCACGTCTGCGCAAGGTTTGCACAGGTTATCGCAGCAACCGCCCGCCCTGGCTGGCGTCCCACGTGGGCAAAGCTGGGCACGTCGCTTCCGGGCCCGCCGGAAAAGCGGTGAAAGGGGTGGACTGGCGGCCGGCCAGCACTCGGTTCTTGGCCCTGGCAGGGGAAGTCTTGGTATTGCTCGCGCTCCATCTCTTACTCCAAGCGCGTGCCCTGGTGCTGACAGGTCGTCCCCAGTGCAGGTGGCACGGAGGCTGCAGCAGGACCCCGCATTTGGGGGAAGGAGCACAGCACCTGTGCACCAAAGGGAAAAGAAGAGCAGAGGCCGCACGCAATGCGACATTAACCTGTGTGCTGTGGACAGGCAGGGCCGGGCGCCGCGCAATGCCTGCTGCTGCAGTGCCTGCAGGGGACAGCTTGGGGCGGGGGGGGAAGGTTTCCAGGGCACCGACTGCAAGGCTGTGGTTTGTCCCCACATGCCACATGTAGCACACGGGTCGGATGCACTGGGCAAAAGGATGCTGGTTTGCCTGGGCAGCCAGTGCCTAGGCCAGGCTCTTGCTGAGGACGCACCGCAGTGCAAGGCTTCCCCGGCAACGCAGCATACACCTGCCCCTCTGCAGGCGCAGCTACAAGTTTCAAGGCCAAGGGATGTCTGCAGAGCAGCATGAGTGCAGGAAATTTGGCTAAAGCAGCAGGATTAACAGCCTAATTTGTGGAGCAAGTGTATTTTAGGTGCTTTTAGGTACTTGTTGCTGTAGCATCTCTGCACCTTGGGGGCTTTGATCTAGTTCCACTGTTAAAGGCAACTTGTTTAACAGACACAAACTTGGGGGAGACCACAGGAGGGGTTTTCCCACCTGGTTTATGGTGCAGCAGGGACTTGTCCCCAGGAGCAGTGGGAGTACCTCACACAGCAGCAGAGGTCCAGAGCCGTGAGAGAGCGGGCACTGCGGGGCAGACATGGCACCCCAAGAGCCAGGTCCTGCAGCCCTGAGCTATCTGGCAGCCCCCAGCTGGGCCAGGGGAACAGAAACCAGCTGAAGACGGGGTCTGCTGATGGGCTGGGCTTGCAGCATGTGCAAATAGCTGGTGCCGGGAAAAGATGGGCGCTGGCACACATAGAGTTAATGCCCTGTGCAGGGCAAGGTGGGCACCCAGCCAGGACACCTCTATAGGGACCCCGCTGGGGGAGCATCCCCGAATGTCCCGTTCAATCTGCGCCTGGCTGCAGCTGGGCATTTCCACTAGATGGTGACAAAAGGCCGTGTCTGCCGTCCCCGGTGGGAGCCCACGGGGCTGCCCTGCTCTCCTCGGGCTCCCCAAAGCCCTTCCCCAGGGCTGCAGCCGAGCGGGAAATCGTACCCCCTCAGCTGCGTCTCTCCCGGTGGATCTCGGGGCACAGAGGAAGGCCTGATACGAGCCCTGCGTTCGACACACACCACGTAAAGGCAGCAGCCAAGCGCAGGCGGGAGAGGAAAAGTTTTACCTGTGGGAGCATCTGCTGCCTAACAGCCACCAGGGACCCCGGGCAAAGACCCCTGCCCGCACCGCCTTCCACCCACGCTGCCGGAAACGTGGGTCGGGAGCAAGGTTGCCTTATCCTGAAGGAATCCTAAAAAAAAAAAGTAAATTTATGCATCTGAGGTCTAATCCCCACTTAAAACCTCTCCAGCACCCCATCCTCCCCCCTGCAAAGTCCCCTTCCCCAGCTACAGGGCCACCTGCTGCTGTCCCACAGCTCCACTTCTGATTCATGCAGGGTGTCAAATGAGTCAGGTCTCCCCTAATTACATCTTTTGTTCATCACCCCCCCAGCAGCACGCTGAAGCGGAAGCGGGGCACGCGAAGAGGCTGGATGGGTCAGGCTGCTGCGCAGCGCTGCAGGGAGAGCCCGCGAGGGCGAAGCGCACAGGGCTTGCTGAATTTGAGGGATTGCACACCAGACTGTCTTCTGCTTGGAGCGGCCGTGACACGCCTCCCTCGGCTGGCACTTTGTGCAACGGTGCCTGTTAGATAGGGACACCAGCCCTCATTTCCAGCCCGCTCTGTGCTGTCAGAGAGCTCCCTCAGCCCAAAAACCCAGCACGAGAGCAGGCGGAGGGGAAACTGCTGAGCTCCTGCGTCTTAGCCCATGGCTTTGGGATCAGCAGGATGCCAGCTGGTTTGCTGGATCTCCTCCCCGATGGTTTCTCACCCCTTCCTCCTCCCATTCTGGCTTCTCCCCACTCTTTTTCTGGCCTTAGTCTAATGGCAGCTCATCCTGTTGCTGAACAGGAGAGAAGGAGGAAACAGCATCCCCTCCCCTCCCACCCT